TTTTCAAAAGGGCATAGAAGGTTGAAAAATCTCCTTTCACCAGGAGTGAGAAAAGAGGCTTTGGGTGGGGAGGGAAGTGAGTGGAAATCAATTTTACTTGCCTTCGCCTTACAATGGATTTTACAAAGTAAAGGGTAGAAAATCAATCTTGTCAAATCAGCGAGAATTGATACACTCAAAGGAGTCTAAAGGTCTTGGAGGGTGTGTTAGGCAGTGAGATGTTCTCCTCCATCACATCATGGGGGATACAGCACAAAGGTTGGCCTCTTTTTTGTGCTGAGGGGACCATGCTAAGGATATTTTCCACGTTCCTCATCAAGATGAGCTCATGGTGGAAGTCAAACCTGAGGACGACCTTCTCAGTCCCAGCCCAAACACCCTGAAGCGGGGGACTGGAGCAAGACACAGGAAGTCTTAGGAGTGCCTGTTCTTGACTCACCAGAACAAGCCCCCAGGTTACATCTAACAAAAGCCTCCCCTTATCCTGCCTGGGACAGTGGGTGCCTCTGGCATTTGGGGGATGCTGGACCATCTGACAAGAGAGACTTCCTATGGCTGTTGCATAAGTCAAACTAAGACAAAGTGATGGGAATTAGCCATTAGCAGATAATGGTAGGCAGAATTGTAAGATGGCTCCCAAGATTCTGGACCCCTGCTATACATATTCCTTCTGTCAGTTATTCAATTAAACACTTATCTAGGTACTCTCTTGAAGGGCTTTTGAAGATGTAAGTAAGGTCTCAAATCAGGAGATTATCCAGGTAGGTCTGACCTAACCAGAAGCAGTTTACTCCAGCTGGCTGCAGCATCAGCACTCAGGGAGATGTGCCCCACCTGGCCTGGGAGAAAGCCAGCATTCAGGCTGTGAACTTCCCATGGAGGGGGCTTCATGGCAAGGAACGGGTAGGTGGTCTCCAGATGCAGAGGGTAGCCCTCGGCTGACAGCTCGTGGGAACACAGGGACCCGAGTTCTGTAACCGCAAGGAACTGAATTCCACCAACCACCAGTGATCTTTAAGACAGACCTTAGACCCCTGATGAGAACTGTAACCTTAGCCAACACTTTGATTTCAGCCCTCAGCAGAGAATGCAGTCACACCGTCCCTGGACTTCTGACCTCCGGAAACTATGAGATAACTTCTTGTTGCTTTAAGCCACTAAGCTTGTGGTAATTTGTTATACAGCAAGAGAACTCTAATACAGCAAGAAAGAAAATATTTTTAAAAAACCGAACATACACAACCAGCAAATCAGCAGTCAGACTGTTACAGAACAGAGGCTGGGGGCTGGATGATATAAAAGACCCCCCCTTTTTCTCCAGGGGTTCCTCTCCACCTACTGGGTTCGTTTTGCCCACCACCTGAGGAATGATGTCTCTTAATACCAGAGATTAGTGAAAAGGAAAGGAATTTATTATTCATTTGAAATAACACAAACTAAAGTTCCCCACAAATGCACAGTCCTCCTAGCACCCTCCATGTGGCAAAAGGGAGCACCTCCAAAGCCTCGTGGTCCTGACTCTCACCCAAACTGCATGGTCCCAACCGAGACACCAAAGCTGCATAGTCCTAAACAAACGCGTGGTCCCAAGAAGAGAGACGCCCAATGGCTGCTGTGCCTCCGTTTAAATCCCAGCGCCAGTCTTCCTCTGCAGCCTCGTTTGTGGCTCCTCCCACAATTGGCCACAGCTGCCCGCATTCTGGGCAGGTGTGGCCCCGTGGTGTGGAGCCAATGATCTCCAAGCTCTTCTGGACCCTATTACAAATCCCTGTTTGGGGCTCCCCTCTTGACTGCACCCTGTTACAAGACCATTTTGTTCACAGCCCAGGCAGCTTCCCCTTCATCCTGCCACATTACAGATCATGATTTTATCACTGATGATGTCAGTTCAAAATACTCTCAGTTCAGAAAGAAAATAACAATCTCATTTGCCACTCTGGGCTTGTCCCCTGGGAAGGTGTTGTTCTGTACTTACCAGCGCCACCGGCAGGGCACAGCTGACTCACCTGCCCCAAGATGCAGGAAGTTTGGGGCCTCCCAGGCTGGTCAGGGCAAGGGCTGAGTGATGTCGAATCTAAAGCTGGCAAAGCCATTTAACATCAGCTGAGACCTTTGACCTGCAGACTCAGCTCCTCCCCCACTTAATTCAGCAGGGGTTTTAGGACCCAGGGACAAAAGCACTGAGATTTACTGAAGATAACAGACAGTGTAATGGTAAAGAACAACTTTGGCAAATTCCTTAACCCTTCTTCACCCCTATCTGTAAAATGGGGACCACAGAACTTTGAAGTGTTGAGGTGAGGCTTATATATCACTGATGCATGAGGCCTACTGTTAACAAGCCTTTGAAAGTGGGAGTTGTTTAGTTGCTTTTGATGCTGACTTGGTGTTCCACTCAAGCCCTAATGCCAGACTTTCATCATATAATAAATGCTCACCCCCGTGGCCCAGAATAGGCAACTGAGCACATTTTGGTCCCTTCTTTCTGAGCCCTGAGTACCTAATGACTGACCACTCCAGCCTAGTACATGGAGAATCAGACCATGTCAGTCAGCTTTAATATAAATCCCGAATAAATTAATTGTCCTTCCCTGGCCTCTTCTTGCTTTCTTCCTTCATTATAACATGAACTAGGCTAGTGATCTGTACTGACTGCTCAGTGTTTCTACTGGATAAAATCAAGGGAATGTAGTAAACCGACAATATGAGACCATTCTACAATAAATATGGGCTAAGTTTGCACTCTAACAACAAAGTAATTATAATTTTTAAAAGATGGTTTCACGAGGCTAAACATTTACATCCTTCATCCATGAAAGTGGAGGGTCCATTAGAGTCACTGAACCAGCTTCGATGATAGAATTTATGAAGTTGTGCCAGATTGTGATGATAAAACATTCACATGTACATGCCACTTATAAATAGAACCACATTTAGACTCATAAACATGGACTTCCTGTTTTTAATAGAATCTTCTTTCTGAGCATTGCTAAGTGGGGTCATTTGAAATTTTCCTAAATTGCAAGAAGGGAGGTGGTGGGAACACTTTTTCCCATTTGCAGATATGACCATTACATGGACTTGCAAATTGGTTAATTGTGTGGAAGATTGAAAAAGAAAAATACTGTTTTAGTAATTCTGTGTGGTCCTGAGTTACATTCATAGGGTTTTCCCAAAGGAAGATTAACATAAGCAAGAGTCTGTCCAATACAGTTTAGATGGGAAAAAAGGCTGTTTTTTAAACTGGTATTTAAAAAAAAAAAAACAATAGAAAAATGCCTACAGCCACTTTCTCCTCAGCAAATGTCTCCTCCAACCAGAGTGTAAGATCCAGAAACTCAGTATCTTTGCCTCTGTCATTCACTGTGGCCACCCTGGTGCCTAGAATAATGCCTGTCACAAACACAGGCACTCATTCAGTATTCCTGAGTAAATGAATTAGTGAAATTAAGTGAATTAGCAAGTGACAGGATGCTGTCTAAATTATAAATGTAAACACGATCCAATCAAGAAGGAAAAAAGGAAGCAAGGACCCCTCGTCCTTTGGGGTACTTTGGAAAAGGAGACCCAGTGTCAATGGAATTCATCACTACAAAGTTTTCATCCTGGATGGAAATTTCCAGAGCCTATGTTGTAAACCATCTTACAGTGGGTTATTTATGAGGAACAAGCCTTTCCCCTAAGTATCTATGTGGCGGCAGCGCCATCTTCTGGGTAACTAGTTGGGAGTTTTAGAACAACATTCTAAGTACATTCCCCCCCCCCCCCGGAGCAAACTGAATTAAGAACAACAGAAAATGATATCAAAAATCTCTTTAGAGATCATTCAGGCCATATATCATCTTATGGGTAAATATCTGCCTTAAGTAGGTACAATATTTTTTCTTTCTATTGATCAAATGGAACTCCGAATTCATCTCTCAGAGAGAAAGCTGAAACTACAGCCGGCATTACTAAATTATATCACAAGTCTCACGTAAATTAGAAACTGAAGGGCAGTTAAAATCCACTTGTTGAGTATCTGAAGAGTTCTGTCCAAAAGAAATCTCTCAGAAAGAAATTTCGGCAACAACGAAGCAAAAGAAGTTTCTGCAATGATCTATATACCTGTGCTGTTCAAGACAATAGCCACTAGCCGTGTGTGGTTATTAAGCATGTGAAATATGGCTAATGAGACTGAGCAACTGGATTTTTCATTTTATTTCATTTTAATTAATTTACATTTTTAAAATAGCCACCTACAGCTAGTGCAGGGTTTCTCAACCTTGACCTTGGCACCATCTACATTTTGGACAGGATAATTGCTATGCGCACCATAGAATGTTCAGCAGCATCCCGGGTCTCTTCTACTCACTAGATGCCAGTAGCACATACTTGCCATCCACGCCCAGCTGTGACAACCAAAAACCTCTCCAGACATTGCCAAGTGTTCTCTAGGGGGCAAACCCTCCCCTGGTTGCGAACCCCTGGGTTAGCAGCTACTGTATTGGATATCACCTTCTAGAATATGCCTAATATGTATATAATATTTGGGTTGAGAAAATGTAGTTGGCCCCATGCTAGACTAGGGCAGTAGTGGTTCTGTCCTAAGAATAGGGAATTGTTTTAAAAAGTCAGATGTAGCAAAGAATTATCTTTCTTCTGTATCTGCCTTCCCCTGTGGAAGAGACGAAGCCGGAGTAGTAACACTAGAAAACTCTACCTCACTCCTGTCCTTACTATGAGACATTGCACAGGCTGACATCCCAGATCTCTGAGTCTCACTTGGAGAAGAACAGGGAGAGTACCCACCCGAGAGGGCTTCTGTGAGGGCTAATTAGATAATGCACAAAGTGTTCCTGGCTCACCTTTTGGCGCACAGTAGATATTCAAAACAATGGTTATTCTTTTAGCCGCCCTCTTCCAGGCAAGAGGGAAAAAGTCTCCGTGCCTTCCAACCAATAATACAAAAGTACCCAGTGTGTTTCCATTGAAACCAAAAATCCAATAGAAAGAACTGGTCATGCTCTATAAACCAAACTTTATTTTTAAATTCCAGTGGCCACAACACACAATAATGTTTGCCTTGACATAGTTAAATGTGTAGAAGAAACTGCTTCAGCTCCTCCGGGAGGAGGAGGCCGGTGATCTTATGGTGCTGTTGGATCCCAAAGCACTTCCGGATTCGAAGGCGGCACAACTGCATCAAAGAAGCAGGGCCTGGAGAAAGATGGTAAAGACAAGCCACACGTTGGTTTCAGCGATCTAAGATGACTTTTCCTTTTCCTTCTTTGAAAGCGTACAAAATATAGGGTGGGGCAAAAGGAAGTTTACAATTATGAGTACGCAGAAACAGTTTATTCTTCTATTATTGTTTATTAATTATTGTATTATTTCCCATAGGAACAACCGTAAACCTCCTTTTGCCCCACCCTGTGTAATATTTTTATAAGGCAATAATACAGTACTGTTTAAGACCATTTTCTGTTTCTTATAGGGGACATTTTTAGGCTATGTTCTCCCATTTCTGGTCCAGTTGAAACGAGTTCAGCCCTGGCTGCTGTAGCTCAGTGGATTGAGCAGGGTCCTGTGAAGCAAAGGGTCACCAGTTAGATTCCCAGTCAGGGCACGTACCTGGGTTGCAGGCCAGGTCCCCAGTAGGGGGCGCACAAGAGGCAACCACACATGGATGTTTCTCTCCCTCTCTTTCTCCCTCCCTTCCCCTCTCTAAAAATAAGTAAATAAGATATTTATTTTAAAAAAAGAACTATGAAATGGGAGGGACGTGGGGAGGGCTGGGTAGGTGGGCCGGGATGGGAGTAAAAGATAGAAAATTGTACTTGAACAATAATTAAAATAAAAAAAAGAACTATGAAGGATAAGCTATCATTGCAAGCCGGATGGAGAGAGGAAAAGCAGGCTATCAGAGCAAACTCAATGTATCTACTGATGCAAACAGGCTATTGGCTCTTTCCCACACACTGGCTGATATACAAGAGCTGTAGCCTTAATTCCATATAAATAGAGCTGAAAACCCACTACAGCTTTGTAGCCATTTGCCACACTCCATAATAAAACCGGTTGATTCTATGTTGGTAGCTGGAATATTGCTTAGGGTCTTGATTTCTTTTTTAAGATTTTATTTATTTATTTTTAGAGAGAGGGGAAGGGAAGGAGAAAGAGGAAGAGATGTATCAATGTGTGGTTGCCTCTTGTGTGCCCCCTACTGGGGACCTGGCCCACAACCCAGGCATGTGCCCTGACTGGGACTCGAACAAGCGACCCTTTGGTTCGCAGCCCATGCTCAATCCACTGAGCTACACCAGCCTGGGCTCAACTTTTTTCTCTTCCCCAGCAACACTCATGATGCTTTAAGGCCATAGCACATTCAGAGGTGGCTGCTTTCTGTGCTGAGAGACAGTCATTTTAGTTTTCATTGCTGCCATGAGAACACTGCTTTTAGATGCTTTTCAAGGTAAATGGGATGGTAATATTCTCAAATTCCTTTCAGGGGCCACCCAGAGACAGATATTACTGTGTTAAATTCATAGGTCTGGCTTTCTGCACTTGCCTGTCCCCATTTCCTGTGCGCTTCCAGCCTGCTGAGAGGTGACTTCACCTGAACCCCAAAGACAACTCATGCAGGCAAAACAAGTGGTAATACCCTCTAATGGCAACTGACATTTTACAAATCAGTGGGACCATTGCCCACACTATCACCAAAATGTGCGTAACAAAATTAAAAGCAACATAGATGTCTAGGAATGGCTTTGGGAAATAAAGTGCAAAGGAAGAGTCAGTGCAGGAAGTGTGAGAATCCAATGTTTTCCCAGTCTTAAAAAAAATGGTATTTTACAACTATGTTGGTATAAAGATCAATATAATCCAGGTTGAGTTTTATTTATTTTTTCCTTCCAATTTCAAAAGAAATGAAAAGATTTCTGTGGTCTCCTAAAAACATAAGCTTCAAATATTGTGTCTGTGCCTGTTGGAGAAATTGGTCCTGTATATATAGACAGAATGTTTTGAAAACAAGAAATCTTCAAAATGTAGGTAGAGTTGCCTGGTGATTATCCCATTGGTTAACATAAAGGGGTTTCTTCTGAACTGTTCTTTGTGCCTAGGGTCAATCTTCCATAGCCCTCTGCACACAAGGTTGGGACATACAAGTCTTGTTTGGGAGCCCCAAGATAGGGCTTTGGCTGCCAGCACTCTGGCACACTGGGAGTAAGAGGAAGAAGAATTGCACGGCCACTTTTGGCCCAAGGCCAGCCCTAACTCTCAGCACGTGGGGAGAATACAAGTAGATTAAAATATCAGAATCCTTGTGCTAGGGAAGCCAACCTCACAGTCACGTAACACCCAAAACGTAATGTTCACATTCTGGTGAAAACAAAAACAAAACAGGTCCTAAGCTAGCTGCTCTCCTCCCTCAACGGACAATTAAGAACTCAATCAGCCCTGGGTGGTGTGGCTCAGCAGATTGAATGCCAGCCTGTGAACCCAAAGGTCACAGGTTTGATTCCCAGTCAGGGCACATGCCTAGATTGCGGGCCAGGTCTCCAGTGGGGGGCGTGTGAGAGGCAACTGATTTCGCACAAAGATGTTTCTTTCTGTCTCTATCTCCTTCCCATCCCCTCTCTAAAAATAAATTAAAAAAAAAAACAATGAATGCAATCAGAGGGGTCTTTGCTCTCCACCCCAACCCACCACCCCTGACTTGCAGCCCAGGGAATTGCCTGTACCCTCTTGCACACTGCACAACCACAGGTTTAGTTGTTTGGGTCAGGAGCATCAGTCCTTATTTATGGAAGAATATGAACTTGCTGTTGATTAACTTACAATAGTAAATGCTTCCAGATTACTGTGAATCATTAAAGTAATATCTTACAATGCTCAATCAATGCCCAGAAGGTTTAGCACACCTGTAGTGTAGCAAAACATCCTGGGACATCATATAACCTCAAAGAGGCTTCTATTCACTGTCAAGCATGTTCTAGGTAAAGTTAATATTCAAATTGTAAAACAATATCTTCGTGCTTTGAAAACTGGCCAACCCCACATATGAATACTAATCATCCAAAACAGTCTGTCTCCCACGTGCCAAACAACAGATGACTATTTACTACATCACCAGTGGTGTACTTCGTGGAATGCTACATTATCTCAGCCCCCCACATTTAGTAATGACAGAGCATAATATTTTTTGTAGGATCAGAAGTCAGAACCTGGTCAGTACCTGCCTCCTGCTAGAGCCCGCAAGAGCCTATGGATTAGGGCTTAGGTTCAGGCAAAGGAGAAGCACCTTCTCTCTGCAAAAAGAGCTGGATCAGAGGGTTCTCTGGAGGCACCAGCTCTGAGGGGCGTTTGCCTTCAGCATTCTTGGCCTGAGTGTCTGCTCCAAAATCCATGAGCAGGCGGGCGAGCTCCCCATTGGACACCTTGGCTGCTACATGAAGAGGGGAGTCCAGACCTCGGCCTCGGTTCACATTTGCTCCTAAAGAGTTACAACAACAACAGAGAGTCAGCCAAGGAGCAAAGTTCAAGCATCCTCCTCCTCAAAGTACTGTGTCTCAAAATTCCCTAACAACTGGGCATCCATACTGGGCACAGCAGTTCTCCTGAGGAAACAAAAGATGACTTCATTCCATTTAACAACATTAGGAACATGTCATTTGACCATGTCACTGAATGTACAACATGAGCTATATAGCATATGAGGATTTAAACTCGCCTATATGGACTCTCCATAGATGTGGATATATACAAGAAAAATCCTGGTGGCCTGAAAGCTGCACATTATTAATGGAGCCCTAATACTAGCCGGTACTGACTAGAAGTGAGGCTACGGGATGAAATCGCATCCCTAGGAAGCAGCTGCATTCATACACTGAGCAACTGCCACAGGGCTTTAAACCTGGAATTCGGGACTGTGTGACTGGGACTATGAAGGGCAACCAACCGGAGAGGGTATCTCCTAGACTGTGGTGGCCAATCCCAAGGTCACAGGGAAGGTGGCGAAGTCTTCTTCTTCAGGAGTGAGGTGGATTTCTAGGATCATCCCACCCCATTCTGTCCCTTCACTCTCAACAAACCCCGGCTCTAGCCTGGATGCTGGCTCACACTATGACATGTGGGGACATGTGGCTTTGTGCAGCTGCTGTCTTTTTAGTAAACTGGGAACCTATGTCCAGTTAACAAATGTTAATTGCACTGTTCTTGCATTGTCCTTGGCTTTATGAAGGAGGCAAAACTTGGCCCTGTCCTTATAGGAGCTTAAAATCTACATAGGGAAATAGGAGGGAAAGGGAGGGAGGGAGGGAGGAATAGAAAGAGAGAGAGAAATAATGCGAGGGAATGAATATGAATCTCCTAATCCATAGCAATGGTTACCAGATGAGTAGAAGGCAAGAAGAACTATAAAAACATTCAGGGGAGGAAAGGGTACTCGAGTTTTAAAGACTAAACAGGGCTCAAATAATTAAAGAGGGGAGGAAATGGTGTTCCCAGTGTCGAAGTGAAAAAGAATGATGCTACATAGGCCTTTTCAAAGACAATATAATATTTACAATGGGTTAAAATAGGGCAAGTTCAATTTCCAAATTGAAGACAAGTAGCAAAGAAGGCCCCAAATAAGACTCAGTCCTAATCTAGCAGTTTTGGGAGTTATGCAAGGTTTAATAATCTGATTAGCTGGAGGATGGAGGCAGAGGAAAGGGAGGAAAAGTATTCATCACCAAGGACTACCCTGGGAGAAGATATTACCATCATCATCATCATCCTCATTATAAGAGAGAGCTAAAGTTCAGTTTGAAATAATTCCCATGGGAACACAGTGAATATGAACCCCAAGCTTTTCCAACTTCACTGCCCATACTTTTTCAACTCCTGCAACAGAAACAGCTTGAAATACATTTAACTTACTTTTCATTTGCTTTCCTTGTTTTGCCTTTTGTTTTACCTGATTCCAGAAGCTTCCTGGCACAGGATACCTGCTGGTTTTCACAAGCCAAATAGAGTGGAGTGCCCAGGTGACTGATGTGATGGTCAATGTCACCCCCATAAGCTGCAAGGTACTCAATGCACTCCGCATGGCCTGCAGCCCAAAGCAAGAGAAAACAGTTACACAACGAGTTCTCTAGTACCAGGGAAACAATACCTTCGCCATCTTTTGGGGTTTTATATGTTTTATTGAATTTATTGGGGTGAAACCAGTTAATAACATCATAGAGGTTCCAAGTACACATTTTTATGATATAGCATCTATATATTGCATTGTGTGGTGACCACCTAAAGTCAAATCATCTGTCACCATATATTTGACTCCTTACTACCCACATACCCCACTTCTCACTGGTAACCATATATTTAAATCTGCCAGCAACTTGTCCAGGGGACCAAAAGCTACTTCCTTTGCTTAGAATAGGGAATGATTGTAAATACTGCCTTCAGTTCATGGGTTGATCATAGATGTGATCTGCGGCTCTGGGTGCGACTCCATGGTAAGCAACCAGCAACATCAACCTTTTTCAATTGTTTGCGCTTTGTAATCAGTCCAAGCACAGAAATGACAGTGAGAGTTGGGGAGAGGTATGGGCGAACAGGGACTGCAGGTGGGCCTGAAGGAAAAAAGGATACAGCATGGGCCATGGGGCAGGGACACTAACTTACAACTTCACCAAGGACAGGTCCTGGGAGCAACATTGGGGATGCTCTAAAAAGGTAGTTCTAAAATGGTCTGTTCATCAGAACAACCTGGAGGGCTTGTGAATCAAAACACAGGTGGCTGCATCCCACCCCCAGAGTTGCTGGTTCAATAGGTCTGGGGCAAAACCAAAGAATCTGCATTTCTGTGCTAGATCACACTGGTACCTCTGGTCCCAGGACCCCACCTTGAGAACTATTGTTCTAAAACAGAACTCTTTTTCCTTCTCTGTTTTAACAGTGAGATCCCTTGAAGGAGTGGTTGGAAAACTTCAGTTCTCAACCACTTTACCTCTCTTAGCAGCTTCATGGATGGGAGATGCCAGATCACTGGCAGGGTGGGGACTGGCTCCAAACCGCAGAAGCAAATTCACACAGTCTGGGCTGCCGCTGATACAAGCATTGAACAAGGGAGTGTGCCAGTTTGTGGTAACGCCGTTCACCTGGAATGAAAAGCTCCACAATGAAGGCAAGCAATGGGGTGTCCTGCGTTCAAATCCAGTCTCCACCACTCCTGGAGCCGGTGTTTAACTTCTCTGATCCTTAAATACCACAACCACAAAATGGGGCCAAAAAATGCAATTCCATGAGGTTTTGGTGAAAAAACTGAATGAAGCATGGAATGTACGGTGCCAAGAATGTTACTGAGTGTTCTATCTCCTTCCTGGCCTCCCCAGGATCCTGAACTTGAAAGCCAGTTAGGATAATTTCAATACTTTACAAATTAATCTCTTTATTTTAAACATTCCATCCTAGACCCGTGTCACACCAATCCAGTTTCTTCACAACAGCCAGAGCAATCTTCTAAAAGTGTTAACATATCATTTTTAATGTTAAAACATGAGTTTCATACCAATACAGAGTGAATACATGCCAAAGGTCTGTTTCACTTCGTTCATTACTGAGGGAACCAGTAAGATGGTGAGGATGACTCAAAGGAGAATTTAAACAGTCAATCAATGGAACGCTGAAATAAATTTGCTAGACATGAATGGATTAATGACTTATTGAGCCATAAAACTATAATCTTTGGGACTATCTTTTCTAATGTTGGAAATTTCTAATAGGGAAGAGCAAAGCCAAACACAGAAGCATTTTTCTTTTTTGTTAAGAAATTCTTTGGTGAACAGTTAAGCAATAGTACTGTGAGGCAAGGCCAGGACTAGTGAGGCACAGGAGACATGCAGGGGTGCAAAATTTAAGGAGACACTCACTCCCAGGGTCAACTAGCATTCCAGTGTAGGTGAGCAGCTCTTTAAAGTGTGCACGCTAGGCACCTCTCATGCTTTTCCTTAGTCCTGGCCCTGTTTCAAAGTTTTATGTATGTTTTCTTAACCAAAATATAAGCCTAGTGATGCGCTCACCTATAGCTCTCTACAGTTCTCAGGACAAAGCCTATTTTCTTGGCATGGACAACAATGGTATTTGTATTCTGATCCCTCTCACCCACTCTATTCTGCTGCTATAAGGAATGATGTGAAATCACAAAAATGTGCTTTTCACTTCCAGGTCTTTACATTTGGTCTTCTCAGAGGGAGGGAAGCCCATAATTTCCCCCAACCCACCATTCAGCTGACTAACTGCAACATGTCCTTGAGGCTTCAGCTTAGACATCATTTCCTACAGGAAGCCTGTTTTTGACTGTCTCCATCAGAAATAAATGGGTTAGAAGCACTTCCTTGTGCTCCCAACAACCCCCTGGCTATCAACACTTAATACATTGTGGAAGTTTGCAAAAATGACCACAGATTCTCTGCACAGTGTGCAATATGGCTTTGCAAGTCTTCATAAGATGGAAACTATTTTTCCAGTCTTTGAAGCAGGGCTTGCCCACGTGACTTGCTTTCACTGATGGAACAGTAACAAATGTGTTACAAGCAGAGAGCTTGCCCTGTTTTGCTGCCCTTGGAATCCCTGCTACCATGTAAACAAGTCCAGGCAGCCTGCTAAAGGATGAGAGACCACATAGAAATTTTCTGGCTCCCCAGACATCTCAGCCAACCCAGGCAAGGTCATCATGAACCAGCCCGCTCTGGCCAATCTACCAGCTAACCTCAAATGCCCAAGTAAGCCCAGCTGAGGTCAGCTGAAGCAGACCAGAAGAGCTGCCCAGTCAACACAAGGGATTGTGAGATAAATAAATGGCTATTGTCTTAAGCCACTAAGTCGAGGTGGTTTGCTATATAGCAAAACCTAACAAATAAAAACAGTGTATTGTAAGTGCCTTCTCTGGCTGAGATGTTATGCATTCAACAAACCTATTTCTTCTGTGTTGGGTACACAACCACATTGCATTCCCTGGCCTTTCTGGAAGTTAGATGTGGCCTGAGTTCTGGCCAGTGGGATATGGGTGAAAGTGATCTATGTCACTACCTAGACTGGTCCTTAAAAGTTTTCCACGCACAATCCCCCACGTCTTTGTCCCTTCCAACCACCTGGAATGGAGACTACCCCGAGAGCACACGTGAAAGCTACTTGTTGAAAACAGTGGAGCAGGATGGAAGAAGCCTGTGTTCCTGAACCACCTTTGGGAAAGAGCCATCTAACTGGCAACACCCACAGTGGAATTTCAGTTGAGCAAGTAAGAAACTTTCGTTGTATTAGACTACTGAGATTTCAGGGTTTATCTATTGAAACAGCTAGTGTTATAGTCACTAAAACATTTGCTCATCTGGCTGTCTCCTCATTTAGTTTATAAGTTACGCATATAATAAATGCTCAATAAATACTGGTTGAGAGAATGTGCAAAACTCATATATACTTTCCTAGTCAGATTTTTCTATCACTTTTGAGCATGAGCAGACTTAGTTAAAGGAAGAATTACTGGTCCCTTCTCTCAAATTCAATGCCTTTGTGTCCTCCTTCCTCTCGGACTTCTCATTATGCTGTCCTGAGTCTCCTTCTCCAAATAATAACCATATACTTCACCTTTTTCAACCTTTGCAACACTACAATAAGTTACACAACATTTTATTTCTTCCACGTTTCAGGTGTAGACTCTAAAACGCACACCATAATTAACTTGTTCCAATTTCCAATGTTAATAAGTAGTAGAGATGGTCTGGGACCCTTATTCTGTTCTGGAGCCAAATGTGTGTTTTGTACAATATTTCACTGCCTTTGAGACATATGAATAAAGACAGAAATCTAACAGGTATTTATTAGTAGTGACTATCAAAGAAAATAATAAAGACAGGACCCATTACCAACAGTTGGTAAAGCAGACAGGCTTGATGGACATACACTTTTGAATAACCCCCCTCTTCATATTTCAAATCAGGCTAATCACAAATGCTGGAAATTATTCTGGAGGGTGAGAAATAGTCAGTTTTCATTCATGGTTTCTAAGATGTTGTTTGAGTGGCACTCACCTGAGCTCCATGGTTTATTAAAACATTGGCACAAGCACGATAACCTCCAAGACAGGCTTCATGAAGTGGGGACACACGGTCTGCTGTGATGACATTCACAGACCACCCCTAGAGGAGGGAAGATGGGCAGAGTAAGGGGTGCAAAGCATTGGTTCCATTAGGGTTGGGTTACAGCCAGAAATCCAGTACTATGACACTACTTTTAAGAGTTCATCTGGCTTAAAATCTGACAGTCCACTAAATTACTGATGGTGATACAGAAAAACAACAGAAAGGGATCTTTCATACTGGGGGTGGGAGTGTAATATGGTGCAACCACCCAGGAAAACAATGTGACGGTATCTATTAGAGTCTGATGACACACACACTCATGGCCCAGCAATTTGACTCTTAGGTACATACACACAAGACTGACTTTCATTTTGCTCTCACTCTCTCCTGTCCTCTCACTTGTTGGTGTATTGTTCTGATGAGGTCCATGGCAAGGAACTATTCCTGCATGTATTCTGGCCTGGTGGGCTTGCCCTACTATGCTCCAGACTTTTGCCAGGAGAAGGAAATTTCACATGTAGCCACTAGTCAAAGGATGGGAAATGTGTGCAGGAGACCTGCACCCAGCCCATAGCTTGGAACCAAACCCAGCCTAGATCAGCCGACGTAAAGACTCGTTGGTAAGAAATGTTTATTGCATTATACTACAGAGTTTGGGGCAGTTTGTTACACAGGAAGATCTGACTAATACAGGTAGGTATTGGATGCTCATTTTATAAAGACAGAAAATGAGATGCCAAGAAGGTAACTTACTCATATATGTTCAGTAAACTTATAAATACTGAATATACATGAGTATGAGCCCAATTCAATAAGTGACATATAAAAGCTGTAATGATCATTTTCTGTCATGTTAAAATAAGGTAAATGTTTCATTTTATCCCAGAAGCATTTTAACTTCTTTTAGCTAAAGTTACTATCTACATTTCTACTTGTGACCAGCTATTGCTATAAAAAAAAAAACAGCTTAAGACAGTGGCCTGGGGTAGTCTGAAATCTTTCTTTAGAAATTTTTTTCTTATATAAAGATTACTTAGTGTAGAAAGATCCATGACATTGGGATGTTTTGAAAGCACAGTTACTTTCACTTACCAGTACCTGAAATGTACCATGTCCTTCAATTATGTATTCAATTAACAGCAAACCACAGTAGTAATAGCAGTATACAGTACTATCATGGGGTGGGATCACAGATATTTTTACTACATTACAATTGTTACAGATATTTAAAAGATGCAAAATATATGTTCATCCTATTTAGAAATTATGGTAGTCATCAGAATCACCACTAAATCTTATTCAATGTATTAACAAAGAAGCCTATATATTATTATGCTACACATTTGTCATTTTATATCTTGATAGCTTTCTTCTGCATTGTTTTATGTATTTAAAACGTTAGTCTGAGAAGGGGTCCACAGACTTTGCCAGACTTCCAAAGGGGTCTATGGCACAGAAAGGGTGAAGAGCTCCTAACTGAAAAGATCCATTGTCTTTTCAGAGAGCAGAGCATCCTGAACAAAAGCTGTTTTAGAATTTAAATGGTGACTTAAATTGCAGAGAAATTAATATCAAACTGGGCAGAGTCACAATCAACTGGAGATGCAACAGAACTGAAGATGTCATTGAAATGATAAGATTGCAAATTTAAAAAGACATTTTCAAGCATTGTTTTGTATCAGGGGTTTTCAACCCCGGCACTACTGACATTTTGTGCTGGATAATTTTTTGATGTGCAGGGCTGCCCTGTGCCATGTAGGATATTTAGTGACATCCATGGTCTCTACCTACTAGATGCCAGTATCACCCTCTCACACCCACTCCCAGCTGTGACAACAAAAGTGTCTCCAAACATTGTCAAATGTCACCTACAGGGCAAAATCACCTCAGCTGAGAACCCAAGCTACATGATAAGTTTTAAGAACATAGTCTACTGAATAAAGAAAAGGAAACTTAAATACACTAATTTTCCTAGTATTCATTTCATAGGTATTTATTAGAGTACCTACTCTGTGTGTAGAATTATACTAAATTCTACTAGTATGTCAGCCTCCAAATTTAAAAAATTGGTTGGATAAGATGGTATTCACCTCACTTTGCTGAAGAGGAATTTGTAATCTTGATATCAGACTATGACTTTTTTCTCAGTGTGGTGAGTTAATAGAATACTTATTGTTTATTTTTTATTTTTCAAAAAGCTACCTACCTGTCTGATGAGATTCCTCAAAGATAGCAGACGCCCATGGACCGCAGCTTCATGTATTGGAGACCAGTCAGACACAACATCTGTATGTAAAGAGAGGAACAGGTGACACCCAGCTAATATACTTTAGACCTGGAAGGTCATCCTTGCCCATCAGTAAGAACCTAACAGGCGTTAATGGTTGGAGTCAATCAACCAAAACTCCCATCAGAAGTTCACCATTTCTCCCCTCTGTTGACATTTCTTGTACACAGTTTATTTGAATCATCTATGTAGCTAAAAACTACATCCAGCGTCCAAACTAAGGACAAAGGGGTAGGTTGGGATGACAGATGGGTTACTGTACTTCCGTTTACACACTGATTTCAAAGGCAAATGGTCCATTTAGTTAAGTGAGAGCTCCACTAATTACCAGCATTAATGTGTTAAGCTGCGATTGCCAGCGCAGTTTCCTGTGTGAAATAGAAACTTTGGCATCTCAGCAAACAGTACAATATACTAAGTAGTAATCAGGTAATTACATACACCATTAGGTTTGGAATCAAATACACCTTTTGTCCCAGTATGAAGTGCATATCAGAGCTCAGTCTGACCTTGTAACTGGAACATTATGTACCCCCAAAGGCAGTGTGCCAGTGTGGTTAAGAGGAAGCTCTGAAGTCAGGCCCGATCGGTTTCCTCTGAGCTGTGCGTCCCTGGACAAGGGCTAAACATCAGTTTCCTTCCCCATAAGTAAGCAGAGCAATATACTTACCCATGGCTCAATACCTATTAGACACTTTTATTATCCTGCCCAAACACTAAACAGAGAGTGTTGATTACACCCTGTAATCGCTGCTCTTTAAAATAGCAAATTTGTTCCACAAGCTATGGAAGGAACACACATTCTTAAGAAGGAAGCTGAAAAACCGTATCCCCACACATCCCCACGTATTGCACGCTTTCCTCACTCTGAGTCTGCATGTCATCTGAATGAGGCCTAGACCTGAATTTTTCTCATCTTAAGTTGAGACTGATTTCCAAAACAAGCGCAGGAAGTGAGAATGCGAGAAGGCTCGTATGAACTTGCTCCAGCTCCAGCTCTGCCCACTAGAGTAAACACATGATTGCACACAGACAAGGCGGCACGGTCTGATGCCCATAACATGGTGTAAAGGAACTGCTATCTCTCAAAAGCTGAGAAGGCCTGGAGAACCAGGGTAGTTCCTGATGCCTTGCACATTGAAAGGGCATAAAGCAGGCGGCCAGAACATTTTATACTTAACACGTGTGGGCTGAGGTCTGCCTGCTCTGCGGAGCTATCAGTGCCCCTGAAAATCCGTCCCAGTGAGCAAATCACCATCTTTCCAGACAGGTTGATGGAGCATGTAATAGGTGAGGAGGAGGCGAATGAGCTCACCTCCACATTGCCCATCCAGTGCTTTCCTTCTGGGTTCACTAAGGGGCATGAGGCACCTTAAATGAAGTCGCTTTTCCTACCTTCAAAACTTTATGCTCAGGAGAAACCTGGGGTTCTCCAAGCATTCTCTGAGGTTCCTACTTCTTTCAGGAAAGATATTGCTGCTTCTAGCACTAGGAGCCTACAACGTAGACTGCAGATACAGAAAGATTTCTCTCCAAATTACAATTAAAAAGAAAACTAATTCTACCCTGGTGGTGCTAATGCAACATACCATCTGCACAAAATCTTGACTGAGAAGAAAGAGTCAAAAATTGAAAAAGGCTTTGAAACTCAGTCGTAAATAGATTTGCAAATGGACCCTAATGGATCATCGCACGTGATGATTAATCTGTTTTCCCTACCAAGTGCTCAGCTGCTAAACAATATAGTTTCCACACTTCTCAGCCTTTCTTAAAGCTACCTCAGATATTAGAGGTGACAGTCCAGGCAGATAATTTGGGTTCCAAATGGCCTGCTCAGATTTCATTAAAATGATGCAATTATAATTATCAACTGTAGATAAAAATGGCCTTTACTTTCTATTCATTCCTCATGGAACCATTATTCCTTCTCTTCAGGGTACTTTTCTAAGCAAAAAAAAAAAGGCCACCTGAGGTCTTGTACTCCTGCCTCTGAATGGAGAGCAAGGACATCTGTGTCTTCGAGAGGCACAGGGTGTTGTCCTGCTACACATCATAGGGACCGGCAATATCTATCCGCCTAACAGCTTTATTGAGTCCCAGCTCACATACTGTGCAATATACTCATTTAAAGCTACAATACAATGGTTTCCAGTATATTCAGAGTAGTGCAACCATCACCACAGTCAATTTTAGAACACTTTTACCATCCCTAGAAGAAACCCCTTCCCATCAGCAGCCTCTCCCCATTTTTACTTCCCCCAACCCCTGGAAAATATTGGTCTATTTTTCTGTCTCTATGGATTTGCCTATAAACATAATCATACAGTATGTGGTCTTCTGGGACTGCCTTCTGTCACTGAGCTTACTGGTTCAAGGTCTATCCACATTGTAGTATGTATCAGTACTTCATCTCCCTTTTCATGGGCAAATAGTATCCATTAGGTAGACAGGCCGCATTTCATTGATTAATTCATTAGTTGATGGGCATTTGTGTTGCTTCCACTTGTTAGCTATTGTGAATAATACTGCCATGAACATTTTTGTACAAAGTTTTGAGTGGATGTATGTTTTCCATTCTCTTGGGTATACATACACCTAGGAGTAGAACTGCCTGTATGGTACAGTAACGCAATGTTGAGCCTTCTGTGGATTGTGGCCATACCACTTTGTACTCCCATCAGCGGTGTGTGCGACTTCTCTTTCTGATTTAAAGTCATTTCCAACTAGAGCTTTGTGAGGCTATCACAATGTACCTACTCCTGCCAGAAAAAAAAAACAAACCCAACTTGGGTTCTTGTAAAGCCCAAATTCACCTCAAATTGATACAGACTTTAGCCTCAGCAGGTCCCTGAACAATTGAGCAATTATATAAAAACTTAAAATTGTGACAATGAAAGGTTGATATTTTCCTAGCATTGATAGCATGAATTATGTATGTGTATATATGTATATATGTGTGTATGTATGTATATATATATACACACACACACACACATACAGTTTAGCAAATGCTATAATTTGCAACATGGACTAGTCCACACACACTTTCTTTTGCTCTTAAAAATACTGAAGAGATATCCAGGAGATGTTTCTCCAGGGTTTTCCAGAGCCCGCACCCCGAGCAGGCAATGAGCTATGGGCTCAACACATGGGAATTAAATCCAGAAGCAGCTTTGCCTGCCTTCCTGCTGATACTGGAAAGAGCAAACTCAATGGGAGAGGGGACCTTTTCCTCTCCGAGTATGGATGATGCCCACAGTAGAAAACTATGGATGAAAGGGAGATTCGAGGTCACAATCCCCTTTCCACTGACCCCACCAAAGTCTTGGAAACTCAAGGGCCATCATGTGTATAGAACACATTATCCAAACCCTTGATATACATTAAAGATTCTTCCCCAGGACTTGTTCAGCCAGGGTCTATTGGTTTTACTGCCAAAAAAATGGATACTAAATGAGGTCAATGGCAATGCCATTGATCCAGTAGCTCACGGTTAAATGGGGCAAGGAGCTCTCCTAACAAAACCACTCCACAAGTCCTCCAATGAATGCCATTATACTTACCTTTCTTTTAAATTGAGTCCCCATCAAACCCTGCAGCACATTAGGAAGGCTGCCATTTAATTTTTATTGCAATTTCTGAAGTGATTTTTGAAATTTCCATTCTTTCAGAAGAGGTTTAAAATGCACTAACTGGTACATTCTAAAAAGAGCTATTCAAGAAGCTCGGAGACCCCACTGAATGCTGGGCAGTAGCATTACATCTATCTTGCAAAACATTTTGCAAGGACAAGGGGAAAGAAAAGAAGGTGGGCTGCTCTGAAAGGGCAGAAGCATTTGCCTTCAGTCTTTGGGACGTGACAGGATGGGGCCATTCCTACATCATCAAGGCTGTGTGTTAGCTATTGGCACTTTTATGTTCAAAATAGAACTCCTTACCCTCCCTTCCTTAGGCTGCGCCCAAGCAGCTCCCCCTCCCAACTCCTGTCTTATCTAACCCTCTTATCTGACATTAATTTAGGCTTGCAAACTGTACAATTTGGGCTGCCTTTTCTCCTTTAGCCTCAACATTTAAACAAGCAGCATAGTCTGATTTTTCTTTTGAAATGATCACTCTGATTTTCCCTTCTCTGTCATTTCCAAGTTTGATCCACATGTAACATTCATGCTTGGGTTAGTGCAGTGGTTCTCAAAGTGTGGTCCCCAAATCACACCGTCGGCATCACCTGAGAGCTGTTATAAATGCAGATTCCCAGCTTCATCCCAGACCTAACACTGCATCAGAAGCTCTGGGGCTGGGGCCCAGCCATCTGCATTTTTAGACCCTCCAGGTGATGCTGATGCACATGAGAGTTTGAGTACATGTGACTTAGTGCAAGAATTTCCTGTGACCCCACCACAATCCCTACTGATTATAGCTACCGGTTTAATTTAGTTCAGTCTTTATTTATTGCCAGGTCTCTGATCCAGAATCATCAATGGCTCCCAATTCCCTGCCTTATAAAGGCTCAACTCTGCCACCTAGTTTCTGAAGCTTCATTATCAGGTTTCATCTCGCCAAACTTGTTCTTACTAGACTCCCTAAGGCATTCTGCCTCCTCGTTTTGACTGTGTTCACTTTTTTCTTTAATCCTCACCCAAGGACATGCTATTGATTTTAGAGAGGGGGGAAGGGAGGGAGAGGGAGAGAAACTTCAATCAGCTGCCTGTACTATGCACTCTGACCAAGGAACAAACCCTTAACACAGGCATGGGCCCTAATCCAGGCATGTGCCCTGACAGGGAATTGAACTGCTAACCTTTTGGTTTATGGGATGATGTTGCAACAAACTAAGCCACACCAGCTAGGGCCAGTATGTTGTTCACTTTTTAACTACTATATCTCAGAGTGTATTTACACCTGTCCACCCCCACCTACTCATGCAGCCCCAGCCATTAGGACCTTTAGAAACTCTTAACAGCGAAAAGTAGCTGGCACCCCTCTCTCATATGAAAACAATATAATAATACTTAGCTGTAAAATAATCATGTAGAAGTAAACCAAGTCACTGATTTTTCTTCATATTTATTGCTTTTAAAATATATTTTAAAATATACTAATCAGCCCTGGCTGAGTGGCTCAGTTGGTTGGAGCATCAACCCTTGCACCAAAAGACTGTGGGTTCGATCCCCACTCAGGGCACATACTTACATTGCAGATTCGATCCTGGTCGGGGCCTATATGGGAGGCAACACATTGATATATGTTTCTCTCTCTTTCTCTCTCTTCTCCTTCCTCTCTCTCTAAAATCAGGGAACATATCCTCAGATGAGGATTTAAAAATGAAAAAATAAAAATATATTTATCAAATTCATTTTCAAAAGTGACTTTTGGTGCCACTCTGCTTTCCACTGCTCCACATCCATGCTCCATCCATCTGATTCACCGAGGTCTGCCTTTGCGGGCCCAAATCCCATTCACTGTTGAGTGCTCTGCTCGTTTCATGAGCAAAATGGGGAAAACGAATAAATGAATGAGCAGTCTTATCTGTTCAATTAGTCAGAGGAAAGGCATTTTGTATTTGATTCCTCCTGGCTTTTCCCCTTCCAGCAGTTGTATAGTAGGAAATTAGTTAAGTCCTAGCTGACTACAGGGTTCCCGCTTATTGTCCCTTTGATGGCAAGCGTTGTGGGAAGCCTATCAGGGTGCTGGATATAATAACGTCTCCTCTCCTCTAATGCCTACACCCATTTTTTTCAGAATACTTTCAGTGAGCAGGAACCTGCTGAATTCTCACACACAAAAATGACAGCTCTCTGGAGGGATGAGACTCTATACATTAGCAGCACCACCACCTGACAGGGGAGAATCATACCTGTAAGACATGTCCAAAGTTTTAAAAGTAAGGCTCCTTTTAAAGCGAATCAAGGGGGAGGGTGGAAGCAAGGGAGGGAGGTGGGTTTGGAGGGGGTGGGGAGAAAATACAGACAACTGTAATTGAACAACAACAAAATAATTTAAAAATAAATAAGTAAATAAATAAATAAATAAAATAAAGTGAATCAATCACTTCAGTGCTCAATGTTTGAACACCCTTTGTAAACCCAGCCCCACCTCGGTGCCAAATACCTAAAACCTTTCAATAAATGTCTCGGCAGTAAAATTGTTCTTATTTGTAATTTTTAAACCTCCAGTGTAATGTGATATATTTAACCATTGCAGCTAAAGTTTTTAGTGGAGAATAAACTGTGACGGTTGGCTTTGGATGGTCTACAGGACTCTGCAGATGGAGGTGGGCACATTTTTGAAGAGCCATGTAAAGAATATATACTAGCAAGCTGTTGACTTCTGTCCAGTGACTGCCCTGTGAACGTATCTCAGACAGAGCCACTGAAATCGCCCAACCCTCTTCTGTCTCTCTGTTCACCAACCTCCCCAGCACTCTGATTCCACAGCCCCTGGACTCACCCCCCATCGGTGGGTTTGAGAGAAGAGTGGTGTCAGGACAGTCTCCTGGGCTGCAGGGCTGGCTGCCAGTCCCGCCTGGTGGTTCGCCATCCATGGTGCTCTCCTGGGTCAGACAAGCTCCCTGTTCCACTTCAGTTGCTCAGGAAAAGTTCACATTCCAGGCTGCTCCTGCTCCTGGGAAATTCCAGTGCTGTGACTGGCTGAGCTGCACTGTCCTGGTCAGACAGTAGGACAGCCGTCTGCAGTACAGAACCAAACAGGCAGAGTAATCTGAGTAGTACCTGTGGTCTCTCTCTCTCTCCCTCACTCACACACCCACACACCCCCACACATGCGCGCCACCTAGCTGGCTGGAGCTGGCCAAAGCTCCAGAAAGCACCCCAGCCCCAAGTCTACAAAGCTGCTGATCTCACGTCCTTTCCAAAACTGAGACCAATCAGTGAGGAAGCCTTGGGGTTATCAGGAAGGAAACTCACAGTTTGTAACTTTTGCAGAGCGAAGGAACAGGGTGGGAGTGAAGGAAACCTTGTTCCTGGCTGCAGCCTTGTTCCCCTGCTGGGATCCTTTCATTATTTGGGGGCTTCCTGTTGAGACAAGCCCCAGAACCCAAGAGCAGACAAAGCTGGTGTTGCTGCAGCCTTGGCCATCTGCACATGTGGTTTCAATTTTTCTGGGAGTTTCTTATGAGAAAATGTGTCTATATGTTGCAAACATGCAGGCTTGCAAAGGACTTTTATTTTCTCCCTTGCAACTGCAAGGATTTCATTAAATGTCCAGCTTCACTCTTCCACACATTATACATTAACTTCTAAGTAAATAATTAATGGTTACAATTGGAAAATGGATTGCTGGCTGGCATGGGGGCATGGAGGAGGCCTGCTATCTTTGTTAATTACAAAACCTTTTACTTTGTGAAGGTTTTGCTTTTACAAAATATTTCGCTTTTTGCATATGTGTTTTTGCAGACACACCCTGTTTCTCTGCAAGCCTGGGTGCTGCTGGTTGAGGCTCATGGCCACCCCTAGACTGCAGCTACTCCTTCCTTCCATGGGGTAGGGAGTTCTGCTTCCCCATCAGGAAAGACTGAGTCTCAAGCAGACCCTGGCTGTAAAATGATTGCACTTTTTTTAAGGCCCAAGACATAGCCTCAGTCTTTCAGACTTACGGGTCCTCAGTTGACAGACATGGTGGTCATTGTTAACAGTTGCAGGACAGTCATTCATATTTTATAATTTCCATGTACACACATTGATCCCCTTACATTTTTTGCATAATTGTAATTATATGATCACCTCGTTCTATGCTTTTTACACTTGTTTTGTCTTGGAGCTCTTTCCATTTCAGCATATAGAGCTATGTCCCTTTCTTTAGTACCTACTGCAAGAATTCCATGTTGTGCCAAATCAATTTCATCATTCCCCTAGGCTGGAAGCACAATGTTACCATTTCTTTGACAAAAAAACAAAAATACCGTACTCTCTTTTTTCGTACATATGGCTTTGTGTATACATGCAAATATTTCTGGAGGAGAGATTCCTAAAAGTGGAAATGCTAAGCCAAAGGTGTGTTCATACACATATGATTATTTCTCTAGAACTAAAGACACACACAGGAGTGAGTCGAAGTCAATATGAAGAATGCTGAATGAGATCAGTAGATTGCATTAATGATGACTTCCTGGTTGTGACACCATACTACAGTTTTGCAAAAGTTACCATTGGGGGAAACGGGGCAAGGCCACAGCAGATTTCTCCGTATTGTTTCTTACAACTGCATGTGAATCTATGATGATCTCAATAGAATTTTCCATTTGAAAAAGGGGCTATCTACTTAAAATTGAGATAAACACTTCCAAATTGCCCTTCAGCTCTATGTGCAGAATTAAGTGAGAAGGCCGTGAGCACATACGCGGCTCACTACTCCAGTAGGGAAGATTTGAAGAACAAAGAAATATGCACTTGGCAGAGGAGGAGGAATGTGCTGCCAACTAGACTGGATGATAGGAGTTAACAGAGGGGAAGGATGAGGAAGCTGAATGCCATTGCCCTTCTTGCTGACTAAAACCTTCACAGCACAGCTTCTTTATTGACCTTTAATGAATTCCCACAAGATAAGGTGATTCCACATTCAAATTTAAGTTTATTGTCCAAAATGACAATAACGAAGATTTCCAGGTTGTTGCCTTAGTACCTGGGAGGGAAGTAATCAGCTTTTATTCTTCTCATTATATTTCTAATGTTGATGAATGTTTGTGAATATTGAAGGATGGGAACTAATTTTGCTTTAACCGTTAAATGACAGTTCTAGTAGAGAATTAGAAAACTATTACAAGAGAGGCTCATGCATATTTGAGGATCTGTCGGAGGGTCAAGTTGAGTTACGTGTGTATGAGCTGTGATTATTGAGAAATAGTTGGACTTACAATGAGCCACAGGAGAACATTCTTACCAACTTCTAGTCAGTCCCAGAAGTTGTGGGTCTGCAGGTTCAGGAAACTTGGCCCAGGTGTGGTAAGAATTATGGTCTGCGGCAGCCGTAAGGCCACAGCCAGTCTTTATCAAGTGCAGCCTTAGCACTAGCTACAGCCTCTACCCCACCTCTCACCCAGCCATCCACAGTGGAGAGCACTCACAGCAACCCTTTCCTCCCCAGGCCTTGGGGAGCCTTGAATGTCACCTCCAATCAGTCAAAGTTGGTCTGGAAGCTGAAACCTCTTGTCCTTCCAATCAGCAATTTTTCTAGCATCATACCTTTAAAACATAAAAAGAACATATCTCCTCTGATAATTTAGAATGATCTGCTTTTCCTGCAAAAGTCCTATCTGCTTCAGTTGTTCTCACATAGCTGGCTCTGCACACCGAGATATCTGACATTGCGACTTTAGAAAGCAGTCACTCACTACCATTCCATCTAGCTATACGGCAAGACTCAAACAAGAATGGGCTGTTAAAACTGTGGCATAATGTAGCATTCTTGAGGAAACAGGCAAATCACAATTGAGAGGTAGTCTACATAACAATGGGCTCAACTCTTAAAAAATGCCTCCAGTGTGAAGGACAAAATGAAGGAGGTTTTTGAGATTAGAGGAGAATAAAGAGACTTGATAACTAAATGTAATGCATGGTATTTGACTGGATCCTGATTTGGGGTGGGGGACAAGGCATGAAAGGCATCAGTGCCACAATCATGGAAACTTAAATATGGATGGATGCATATCAGTCACAGTACATTGATGTCAAACTTCCTGCATATGGTCAGTGCACCAAGTTATGTAGAAGAATCTCTGTTCTTGGAAGAGGTACACTGAAGGGCTTAGTGCAGAGCCATGTGAGAGTGTGACGCAAAGGAAAAGTGTGTGCCCCTATGTGCACATTGTGCATCAAAAAGTTAGTGCAATTGCTACAGTCAAAACACATGAGTACATACAGGGTCCAGCACAAATAACGCCCCCCCCTTTTTTTTTCTTTTTGAAGATTTTATTTATTTATCTTTAGAGAGGGGAGGGAGGAAGAGAGAGAGAAGCATCAATGTGCGGTTGTTGGGGGCCATGGCCTGCAACCCAGGCATGTGTCCTGACTGGGAATCGAACCTGCGATGCTTTGGTTCGCAGCCTGCACTCAATCCACTGAGCTACGCCAGCCAGGTAACGCCCCTTTTTTATTAGAAAAATCTTTTATTACAAAATCATAAGCATGTAAATTTGTAACATAGCAGTATCATACTCAGACACAGCATAGGACATTTTAGGGGAAATGTTCAAATTAAAAGTGTAAATTATTACACCCATATTATTACCCTACCAACCACACTTGAGCAGGCCTCCCTTCTGCATAAAACCCGCATTGCCCAATCTGTTCACAAGTCATTGTCACTTCTCAAAAACTCAAGAGCCACAGGTCCCAGAGCCTCAGGCTGATTGGAAACACTGTTCTCATTGCAAGATTATGCAGGGTCATAAAACAAACAACAGTTTGTCTGTAACATTTTTGATGTTTTAATCATCATGGGATGTTTTTCCCTAATAGTAAATTTTAATATATTGCACTAAAATATTTCTCTTGATGGAGTTTTTCAGCACCCGCTTAAATTTTCTGCCACAGTCACCTCATCCTAATCATAGCCCTGGTGACGAATCATGAGGCCTATGGTTTATTCATAAATGGTTCATTTAGAAAATTATTTGTATATGTATTAATTATACACATGCTCGCATACATACATATATGATATAGAATATATATCATAACATGTGTATACATTACCTTATGTATATTAACATATACATACAAACATATGTTCATACACATACATAGACAGATAAGCAAATATGGCAAAATGTTAATTGGTGAATTGAGATGATGGATATACAAATATTGTATTATTCTTTTTAAACTTTTTTTAATAGGAAGGTTTTCTGACTTTATTTATTTATTTATTTTGCAGAGGGGAAGGGAGGGAGAAAGAGGGGGAGAGAAACATCAGTGTGTGGTTGCCTCTCACGCGTCCCCTACTGGGGACCTGGACCACAACCCAGGCATGTGCCCTGACTGGGAATGGAAGTGGGGACCCTTTGATTTGCAGGCTGGAGCTCAACCACTGAGCCACACCAGCCAGGGCTCATTGTATTATTCTTGCAATTTTTCTGTAACCTGGAAATTTTCAGGATGCAACCATGGTGGGAGAAGAGATATTAGTACATGAAAATGAAAATCTGGTATACGTTTTTTACAGATTAAACTCGTGTTAAAATTTGAAGCTGCTGTTCTGAGTGTGAGCATGTATTTGTCCCAGTACAGACTCTGCCGAAGGAAGATGATATATTCCATATGCAAATATCCATGCAGGAGGAGCCCCTGGCTATGATTTGTGACAAGAGGCTCTCCAGTGTGGACAGCACCCTCCCCTGATAAGCCACAGTTATTCAACGATTCATCCCTCACCATAACAGCTTCAGGCAATGTCTCTGAAGCTTCAGCTGTTCTCTTTGTGTTAAGTGCATAAAATGTTAGCTATGAGCATTGTTATTGAAAAAAGAATCATCTGTAAACGTCAGGTTGATTTGACATGGCAGCATTAGAAATACCAGGAAGAAGAATTACTTTGGGAGAAACAGTTCCTTAATAAATTACGAACAAAAAAACTTAAAGATGTTGAATGGCATACCCAACCTTGTAAATAATGTAAGGGATTTTAAGAGTTGAAGCTTAAATATTCAAGGGACACAGGTAAGCTTTATTTTTTTTAAATAATGGGTCAAGGCAGATGATGGATACAGTCAAATAAATAATCAATAGATAGATGCCACACACATATACAGTATATAGATATTTATATGTCAGCATAATAGACACATGGTGTATGAATAGGTAATATTGGGTGTTTGGTCATTAAAATATTTTCCCTTAAAATGATTCAGTTTCTGTATATATAAACTTATTTTAAACTATTATTTTAAAGTCTTCTTAATCAGTAAATACCACTTTAAACACCTTCTAGGAAATACTTCAAACATTTCCGATTTATTTTTAAAAACCAAAGTTCTCACTAGTATTATTTATAATATCAAGAAATTAGAAATAATGTTAAGTATCCAGCAATATGGAAATAGCTAAGAAATATGATAGTACCATTTAAAAGGACAGTTGCAAAGGGTTTGAAACTTAGAAAATCATCACAATATGGTTTGTGGGGAAACAGCAGAACTCAAAAATACTTTTATAATAGGATCATTATATTAAATCAGGCAAAGAAACAAAAAAAAAAACCCTCCAAACCATGATGTATTGAAAGTCACTAAAAATTGAACAGTAAAATTAATAAATATTAGATATACACATTAATAGCTCTTTTCAAATGCAGTCACTCTGCCAGGGTCTTTGCTTAATCACCTTATCTCATAGTGCTCTCTCCATCACTCGTTACCCTGGATCTGCCTTACTTTTCTTCTTATCGCTTCCTGAAATAACGATATATATGTACATGTCGCTCATTTCCTGTTGCCTCCACTAATAAGCAAGCTTTTCGGGGGTAAGGACCTTGTCTGTTTTTCACAGCCTCAAAGAGTTTCTGTCACATAATAGATAACTAAGTAAAAATGTGTTGAATTAATTGAGAAATTATCCTACAGCACTTCAAATATGATTGAAATTGTAAAAAAAAAATACACAATTTAGGGAATAAAACATCCCACATCCTGTGAATAATGAAATAATCTCTATTGTGTTAAGAACCCTCCCCGCAGAGCAAGCAATATAACCTCACATAAACCAGGTGATTGGTCTGCTGGTCTAATTCTAGCTGGTCGGATATAAGACTCAAGGGGAAGTTAAAGACTACCTCTTGTCCAATCTCTACTTTCATAAATTGTAAAACACTGCCGCAATTCCCAACGCAGGCAACTGGGACCTGTTCTGCTTCCACGTCCTTGTAAAACCAGAGGATTGGTTCTGGTGAGTGGTCTCTTGAGACTCAGTTCAGGATGGGGGTGCCCCCCCAACATGCCCCTCCCCAACACACACACACACCTACCAGGGTTGGGAGGTCCATGCACATGATTCCTGAGTTTCACGGTCTGCAGGTTCAGGACGTAGGTGGAACAGCAGGATTCTCTTGTTCCCTCACGTCACACACAGACTGAATATCCTAGGACACCGTGGGCTTAGCACAGAGCTCAGACATTCAGCAAGACTCAGGCTAACCCCCAAAAAATGCCCTCAGGAGAACACTTTGAAGATAGAAAGCCTCTAACTCCTGAATGGTCTACAATAGGTATTTTATTTTATTTTTTGGCTCTTTTCACTTTATTGCATGAAGGCGTTACACTAGTCAGAAATAAAAGCAGACCCCAAATGGTTACACTATACAAACCATGAGGTTTATAAACTTGTGACAAGTAAAACCCACGAACCTTCAACTGATCGTCCTTAGCCAGTCCACTCTCTGTGAGGAACTGGCGTGTGTTCTTGTGTTGGTCACCCTGCAACGAAATCGCTTCTCCATATTCCGGATGCTCAACTGTAGTACGATTGCAGGCAGATTTCTTCCTAAACACCTTCACTAGTTTCCTATTATCGTAATCACCAGCGATGCCTTGGGCAGTAGTAAAGGTCTTCCTACTGTTCCTCTGTTGAATTCTTATGTGGATATAATTCTCAGACCCAGCAGGAAACAGATCATTACCTTCACTTGCATCAGCAAAGGGTTCAAAAGAGTAGAGGTTCTGGGTGACATACATATGATACAATTCCTTTTCCTCAGTGGAAAAGGCCTGCGGAAGCTGGCCTCCTGCTGCAGGAGGCGGGGGGGCAGAGCATCTGGAAGCGAGGGGACCCAAGAGCGAGGTTGCTGAGTCCAGTGTGGCAGCCCAGTGGCTCGGGCTGATACGTATTTTAATTTAACAGTATTTTCCTTTGAAGTTTCTGCCTTTGATATTATGCTTAGGAAAGACTTTCCTTTTTATGTATATTCATGAATATTTTATTCTAGTGTTTTATAGCCATCATTTTAAATTTAAAAAAGATTTTATCTATTTATTTTTAGAGGGGAAGGGAGAAAGAAACATTAATTGGTTGCCTCCCGCACACCCGCAAGTGAAGACTTGACCCACACGTAGGGACTGGGCCCGCACCCCAGGCATGTGCCCTGACTGGGGATCAAACCAGCGACCTTTTGGTCTGCAGGACAACCCCCAACCCTCTGAGCCACACCAGCCAGGGCACATCATTTTAAACTCTTTAACATTTAAAAAATGAGATTTGCCTTTGAAATATGATGTCAAATAAGAATTTAACCTTTTTCTCCAAATAGTTAAATTTGGAGAAAATGAGATCAACTTATTTGATATTCCAACGTTGTGAAAATGAGAAAAAAGGTCTAGAACAATACTAACAGAAATATGATGCTAGTGACATGAGATCAACTTATTTGATATTCCAAAGTTGTGAAAATGAGAAAAAAGGTCTAGAACAGTACTAACAGAAATATGATGCTAGCGACATGTGTATCTTAAAATTTTCTTGTAGTCCCATTTAAAAAGTAAAATTAAATGGAAATAATTTTTTAAACCTTTTTTTAAGATTTATTTCCTTATTTTTAGAGAGGGAAGGGAGGGAGAAAGAGAGAGAGAGAGAAACATCAATGTGCGCTTGCTGGGGGCCGTGGCCTGCAACCCAGGCATGTGCCCTGACTGGGAATCGGACCTGCGATGCTTTGGTTCACAGCCCGCGCTCAATCCACTGAGCTATGCCAGCCAGGGCAAAATGGAAATAATTTTAATGATGAGTTTTATTTAGCTAGTACAGTCAAAATATTATCATTTCAATGGACAACCAACATCAAACTCAATAAAATATTTCACATCCTTTTTTTGGTACTGAATCTTCGAATGGTGGTATGCATTTTGTCGTTTCAGCACTTCTCAGTTCAGTCTAGCCACATTTGAACTGCTCAGTAGGTGCATGTAACTAGTGGCTTCTGCACTGACGAGCACAGGCGTAGAGCAGTATTTCTTCATCTCAGCACTAGTGACATTTGGGACCTGGTAATTCTTTACTGTGGGGAGCTGTCCTAAGTCTTGTAGGAAGATCACGTGCATCTCCAATATTCATCCGCTAGGTGTCAGTAGCATCCCTCCCCCAGTTGCTGCAACCGAAAAATGTCTCCAGGCTGCCAAATGTCCCCAAGGGTGTGTGGGAAGTAGGGCAAAATTGTCCCAGTTAAAAATCAATGGTCTCGAAAAACAACGGTCTAGAAAAATCAATGGTCTAGAAAAACATGTTTGGAACAAATCTTAGGATCACCCTAGAGACAATCTTCTTTTTAGAAGCTAATATTACTATAGGCACTAAACCATGGTAAGAGTACTTAAAAATAATTAGTCTACCCAATTTTCATGTTTTAAAATCACAAAGAGGAGGAGGAGGAATGGCAGAAGGGGAGGAGGTTGGGAAGAAGGAAAAGAAGAGGGAGAAGAAGAGAGAAAGGGAGAGGAAGGCGGTTTTTTAAGTATACCTTTGTGCTTATTTTGGCCTCCTCCTCAGGGGAATACTATTGACTCACAATTGAGCCCACCTTGATTTATTTCAACAACCCTGGGACTCCCGATTTTGAAAATAAGCTGACGGATGCTTGGGTTGCCACCTGCATCAAACCGTGCCTGTGGGACGGTCAGGTGGACGGTCAGTGGGAGCACCCCATGTTGCTCTCTCCAGCAACTGTCTACTTCAAGTGGCAGTGCCTAATATCAAATGTGACGAGCATCAGACCCCAACCTCCAGGGGAGCTAATCTCTTCCACCATCTCACTTGCCAACCAGGAACTCAGTAACTGGCAGCCTCAATTAACTGTGGTGTTTTAAAAGTATTAGGCTTTTATATATATATATATATAAAGGCAAGGAAGGCAGCTATGCTAATCACTATACAGAAAGTCAGCATGGTGGTTACCTGAGGGAGGGGGTGGGGAGTAGTAAAGGGTAAAGGGTAAAGGGAGTCAACTATGTGGTGACGGAAGATGATTGGACTTTGGGTGGTGGGCACACAGTGCAATATACAGATGGTGTGTCACAGAAGTGTGCACTTGAGAGTTATATGGTCCTATTACCCAATGTCACCCCAACAAATTCAATTAAAAACAAAAAGGCAAGGAAATCAAAATTATGGCAGAGATTTATTCACAGAGGAAAGAAAAAAGGAAAGTGGGAAGAACTCAATCAGGAGGTACACACCTTGCAATACTCACATTCATCACAATCCTATTCGCCCAGATTATTATGCGTCTGCACGATACTCAGAATGTTGACCCTTACGTAACTGAAGATCATGGGCCTTTGAAAATACCATATTATTCTCATTCTACTTCACAATTTTTCAAAGTTTCTTCACAAGAAGAGCTAAAAATGAAAGGCCTCTGGCTGCTCCTTGGTTAATGAGGATATTAAACCAATGAGCAGTGTCCACCCCCTAAGTGTTTCCAATTCATCCGGAACTTAATCTAACTGGAGGAGCTCATTCGAAGATACTGAGAGTCTAGCTGTTGAGCATCTACACTAGCTGCCCGGTGTACATCAGGCAGCAGCCTGATCACTTCCAAGACCCTCCAGGGGCAGCTGGGACTACTGGTAGAGGAGGAATCTTTGCAGTGGCTCTGGCAGATGCAGCTTGTGGACGCTTTGGAGACACGCTCGACCCAGGCACTTCCGGACACATAGGCGGCAGAGCTGGGAAAGAGCAGGAGGGCCTAAGGAAGGAACGAAAATGGTGTGAACCTCATGCTGGTGGGGTGGGTGGTGGGTGAAGGGAGACCAGAGGACCGGAAGAGGCTGACACTTTCTAAAACATTAAGAGAAGCTGGAGCTGTATAGGAGTTAGAGGGTGAGGTAGCAAACACACGCTGCATACAAGATTCCGGTCTGCCCCTTGGACAGGGACATGTTTCTTTAAGTTGAGCCTCCGGTGGTCATTATATGACTGATACTGAAGAATGAGGCTAATTAGAGGCAAGTTAGGAATGAGCCGTGGGGTCTAAAGGGGCCGAAGAGACAATGCAAACGGAAGCACTGAGCATGCATGAACTGCATGCAAGAGACGGAACTGCAGAGCAAGGAACGACTCCCAGGAGAGTGTCAGCAGGAAGCCCAGCCTACGTGGTCACAGAGGCAGTGTCAGGACATGTGCAGGGACCTTGGCACTCGGGGTCCCCCTGGATCACCTGGCTCTAGCTTCCAGGAGGCGGTGCTGCCTGAGTCCTGACTCACACTTAGAGGGCCCGCCATTCTCACCAGGATCCCAGCTCAACAGAAGATCGGGAGAAAGGATCCAACTCACTTAGAGCCCGTTATACCCTGAACCTCTGTCTCCTGGAGTATTGTAGAGTCATCATGCCTGTGGCTTTGAGCAGCTTTGAGTCCTAAAGGAAACTAACAAAGGGTCCAATATATGGTTGAAGAGGATGAATGAGATTTGCGCTGGAATACTAGTTATACGGGGGCATTTGTAACATCCCACTATTTTGTAACCTGACTCTATCAATGAACATCTCTTCAAGGAGATCTATGTAATTACTGGACCAAGTTTTCCTTTTCAAGAAAATCCTACTGTGGTAGCACCTTGCACCCCAGGAGAAATGGAGGGCAGCATGTGCAAATAGCCAAATGACACTTGCATCGATATTGCCCAGAGGCATCCACGGGACACAAAGCCACCTGGAAGACCAGTTGCCCTCAGTTAAAATCTTGGGATACAAGAATGGCAAGTGTCTCTACCTTTCACCCAACTAAAGCTACTCCGGAAAACAGTAATGTAGAGAAATTATCCAGGCTGCCTAGACAAGTTCAGACGCCAGCAGGAACTCTGACATAGTTGGTGTTTAGCCTTCTAGAGCACAGGTGGCAAACACAAGGCCCGCAGGCCAAATCTGGCCCTCCGCCTTGGTTTATCCGGCCCAGGACCTTGCTTCTACCTGGCGGCAGTGCCGAGCTCCTTGCCCCTAGTTAAGGAGCAGTTAACATTTATATAGTCCTAAATTACATTCGGCCCTTTGAAGGCAACCATGAGGCTGATGTGGCCCCCGGTGAAAATGAGTTTGACACCCCTGTAGAGCAAGCAGCTATTTTTATGAAGAAAGAGAATGTGAATTTGCTTATAAGAAATACAAATGCTGAGCCTGGAAACATTTTTGATGGAAGAAAAGAAGAAATGTGACACCTGCTGCAAACCATATTCTCAGCTAATAGTGGGAAAGCATCTGGTATTTCCAAGCTGGGATCTGGTAAGGAAGATCCTAATTCTTCAAGCGCAGATTCAAATAACAGAATAGTCATTAATGGCACAGGTTGCCGGAAATAATCTAGACCAGTGGGACGCAAAGGGTGGCCTCAGACCAGCAGCATCAGCACCACCTGGGAGCTGGATGGACACGCAGTGTCTAGGGCCCCACCCTAGGCCTGCTGAATAAGAATCTGCATTTTAATGAGATCCCCTGGCGATTCCTATGATCTTTAAAGCTTAAGAAGCACTAGCCTAGAAAGTATTCCTCACATTATTGAACCACCCTTTACACTTGGAAGGTATGTAAGACACGGGGGTGGTTTCACAAAAATGGAAACTGTTCCAGGAGACTCAGGTTTGGGCTAACCATAACACTGAGAATGCATGTTTGGGGGTCAGACTGCCTGGTTAGAATCCTGCTTCTGCTTCTCAGCCGCCACGTGACCTTCTGCAAAGCCTATCTCTTTAT